GGCTCCAAAGCAAATCTGAGCTCTAGAAAGTTGCCACTTGAGCCACATAAGCCATCATGGGGGAGACGTTAATGTTATAGCTGACAAATTCTACAAATTTTAGTTCTGTGTCTGCCTAAACAGGCTCTGGTTGGTGTTTTGTTAATAATGGTGAATATTTGTAAAAGTATGAAAATTCAGCTGGTGTGGTGAAGACAAGTGGCCACTCAGGCTGGTTTCAAACAAAAATCTCTCAAATTTCTCTCAAAAATGTAGAATATAAACTTTCAATCAACGCTACATCAGTTTTTAAGTAGAAGAAGAGACATCTTGACAATATGTGAAATAAAATGAAAATTTAGAAGGTTCCACCTGTGTAGACAGCCCAGCAGCAACCCAGTGTGGGGCAGACACAGAGGGGGACAAGAGCTTCTGCTGGAGCTCAGCAGTAAAGAGGGGTGAGAGGCCAGGTCAGGCCCAAAGAGAAGGCCATGGTACAGGGCAGCCAGCCGAACCTGTAAGGCCACATTTGAACCCCATCCCCACATTCACTGTGGGTCACTGGGCCAAATAAATGATTTGGGTCCCAAATGGCCTCAGGCTAATGGGTTAATCTTTCTCTCTTATTAAATGCTATCAGCTTCCATTAGAAGCAGCGCGGGTCTGATGTGAATGGAAGGCTGAGGCAGAGAGAGGAGAGAGAGATTTGCAAGTGGCTGGCCTGTCGCTTTGCTCACTCAGCCATGACAGAGAGGAGAGTAGAGTACTGGCAGACTGGTACAGTGATACACACACACACACACACACAATAATATAACTGGCCTTTATAGGCATTTACTATGATATGCACACAAGACATTCAACCACCAATAAACACATACAGTCTTACATACAGTTACATACATCTACTCTACAATACGCACACAGATAAATACACAGGAGCAATAATAAAGTAAAAGGCATCCATTTATGTTAGACCCTCATTGTAACATGTTATCCATGTATTTTAGTCATGTGATTTTTCTGCTGTGGCTACCATATTTGGGACAGATTTTCTGGCATTGTTATGCAATGTAAATATAAGTAGCAAAGAAAGATGACTAAAATTACCTTACTTTGAGAGAGAGAAAAAAACGGTACCTCGACGAAGTGGATTAAATACGCTCGGGCCCTTTCCTAGAGGTGGGGGTAACAGCGATCTGTGGACTGAAATGTTTTTATGTGACTAGCATGAAACAAACATGCCATTGTCATACGCCAGTCTCATGTAAAACAAGCCAATAATTAATAGAATGTGGCAACCAAAAATTTAACCTGTCATTGACTTTTTCTGTATTTTATTTAAATTATTATTGCAATGATCAATACTTAAGTCATGTGTAAATTATGGCATGTAAAGAACTTTCAATGTGTCGCTGACTTTTGCTGGTTTCAATGTGCGTATATGCCAGTTCAGTTTAACTTACCACTGGCATGTGATGTTTTAAGCACCTTCACTCATCTTATTTAAATCATGCTTTAAACTATGCAAAACATACTTGTTTTGTATAAAACGATATTTTACAAACTTTGAAGCATGCTGTGTACTCAATTGGTGAAAGCATTTTTAAAATATGCTTTTAACATGTAGTCTTAAATATGCTTAAAGAGTGACTTGTGGCAGGAGCATTCTGTGAAAAAAATAACGCTTAATGTGCTACTGGCACATCCCAGCTTGCGGGACATATGAAAATAAAGAGTGGAACCTGCCACTGATTCTGCAAGCTAATAGTGAGTCATTGCCAGTGGGACTTTTTTATTCAGTAGATAATGTTTACAGGTAAGTAAAATCAATGGCTTTGCTTTAGGTAGTTTAAAAAGAGTTAGACGAAACTGGTTAAGTTAGATCACAATATAAGGGAACGAAAGAGGCTTATTGTGGTCAGCCAGAGTGTTCAGACCGATCTTGGAATTAGCTGAAGTTTGTTCTGAATATATTTTGCAGAGAGCAACAGAACTAATGGAAAAAGACAATAGAGATGCATCTTGCTAGCTAACGCAGTCAATCCTTTATTCTGTCCTCAAAGTGGTAGCCACTGCAAAGTGTGCCATCATGTGAAACGCAAGGACAAATTCTGCTTTCAAAGTCTCCTCCACTACCTTTTCTCTCTCTCTTTGGGTAATTTTCCAGGGCAGTGTTCTGAGAGCGTGTTAATCAGGAGAGATGACCAATAAGGCCTCATTAGGGCTCATGCAGCAGCAGGCCGAGGGGGGAGGGGTGTGAATTTGAGCAGTAGAGGGGGTAGAGGTGAAGTGGCTGGGGGAGAGGGTGGCGGTCACCTCCAGGGCTTTGGCTGCTGACCAAGCTGCTGCTGCAGGCTGCAGTGTCCTGCCTGAGGGCCTGCCTGCGGCCAGATGAGCCCCGGAGCCCCCTGAGAGCCCAGAGAGAAACCACCACCATCACCAACAGCAGCAGCAGCAACAGCAGAGGCCCAACGCATTCCATCCAGTCACCTCTACTACACCACAGCCTATACCGGCCTGGGGGACAACAGCAAGGAAAATACAGTGGCTGTACACGACAGGACAACCTGAGCAGAGCAGGGACAGCAAGTGCCCGAAAGCTTCTGGGAATACACAGAGGTGGCATCTCTCTCAGCCACCAAACGGCTCCTCAAGGAGAAGACTAGACCAGCAGTGTCAGAAAAAAATTTCAGCCGCAGTTAAAAACATCATGACCCAAAATACAAAAGACTGGAGTTCTACAGTCCTCCGTTCCATATGAAACGCTAAATTAAATCTCAAAAGCGCTGTAAGGAAAAAACAGTACTGTGATATTTTTACAACAGGCTTTTTGTCATTAACTGATATTGTCTTTAACCCTTAGAACTCGAGAGTAATTTATTTTGTTTTGTCATACTCCTTAAACTTGATCACAAATTTAATTAGCAGGGCTGGCCCGAATACTTGTGAATACACAAGTATTTGCACCTTATGTTAGGTGACAGGTATTCATTTCGTTTAGTCTTTTGTTAACTTTTTAGATCCCAACAGAATTCTACCACTCTTGTAGATTTCTATATAAATATATAAACATACTTAAAGTAAGGTTAATTATGAAATGAAAATATTATTTTTAATGGTTCCACAGAGAACGAGTACTTAAAATCTGTAAAATGCTATTCAGGCCAGCCTTACTAATTACACAATGAATTACATTTACTTTCAACTTTCATTCTACACTTGTAAATGTCTTTCCTGTTAGTCTGGATATTAAATGACACAAAGATATGTATAAATGTAAAGGTTTTTATTTCCCCATAACAAGACCGTGAACACAAAGACACCTTTGTAATAAATTCAAATAATAACAAAACTAAAAACACAGACTGAAAGTTTAGACTCTGCACTGTCTACAACATTTCTCCAATTGTTTCAAAGAGCTATGAGTGAGAATTCATACTGACTTACACAACGCTTTTATTGCTGGTCACAACTGCAGCATCTAAGGTTTAACAGCCTAGAGTCTATAGTTTTATCCAACAATGCATTTTAAATAGGGATGCACAACGACATTGGAATTATATTGGTATTGGCAGATACTTGTATAAAAAATGATCATCATCAGACAGATGCTTAGATGTGATTGATAATTCAAAACAATATTTGATCATTCACTTATTTTATTTTGGTTATGCAGAACCTTTGGAACAAATTCCCGTATTGGCACATCCCTAATTCTGAATGTTTGCGGCGGTCTGCCACAAACATTTGCCACAGGTTTTCAGCCATAGATAATCACTGAATGTACCATTTTTTTAAGCCAACAATCCTTTAATGAAACTAACCAGTGACTGTTTTCTATATATGCTAAAGCTTTAGTTTCAAAGTTTTTAAAGACAATATAGATAAAAGGACATTTTATCTTGTAATTGTACATCCAATTAAGTTTTCAGTTTCAACTAAATATGCTTTTTCCAAAAATGTGTTTGGACAAAAATGAATATATTAATCTGTGACTAGATTTTGTGGGCATGATGAACATACGTTACGTGCACCAAAATACCCATGTGTACAAACTTCTGGAGCCCTGCTCCAAAACCACAAGAGAGCTTTTTCTCAGTACACTTTACTTGGAGCACCTGAACTGACAAAAAAACAGAAACAATGGTGCATCTGACACACCAGGGAATTATCACAATTAAATCATAATTACACCCCATCAGTCTAATTATTGAACACTACAGGCTGTCATCATGCAACTAATGACTAGCAGAAACATGCCACTGTTTCAGCGTTTACACAAGGCAGATAAAGCCTGTGAAGATATCACAAAAAACCATCCTGTCCCATCACTTTTAGCTCTAAGAAGGAAGTGTGAGCATTGTGGGCGTTTGTCTTTTTCCTTTGCAAAACCTGCCTTTGAGAGCCAATGTCACTGTTCCTTTGCCTCCCGTCACGTAACGTAACTTCATGAAAGCTCTGCCAGTAATTGATTTAACTGGGAGACTGTGAAGGACTTCAAAGTCTGTGGAGATGAGATTGATGGAATTATGTAGTAAGGTTGAGATACTTATTTATTGACCAGGGAGAAGGGAGGGGAGGCTTATGATGAGAGAGGCTGGACCTTTTGGCCCCGCGCTGATTTGATAGCTCGGTAATGGAGCGGGGGAAGGGGAGGGAAGGGGAGGAAAGGGGTTTGGAGGGGTCAGACTCTAGCCCTGGACTCAGACCTCTGCTCAAATGGAGTTAATGGCTGTCCAGAAAAGTCTAGCCAGGCCTTGACACTGTCCTCCTTTTTAAAGTGCATGACTTGTTTTGGGGAGGGAGGGGTGAACTAAAGCTTTTAATTTGGAAATTGGCAAGACAATGGCCTGGAGATGACAAAAGGATGGAAGAGGGGATCAAAACAGATAGCACTACCCTTCACATTCTGAAATTACATTAGAGCAGGCAGAAAAATTTATTGTTTACTTCCCATTAAGAGAATGTGGGCATTCCTAGTAAGTTTAGAATTAGAAAAATGGGACAGATTTACTCACAGTTTCCTTGCTTTGAAGCATTCTGCAAACTCTTGAACACTTCTCAATGAGGCCAGGTCCAGCGTCATGGCCTCAACACGAGCTTTGTGCTAGACAGTGAGTGAGAGAGAGGGAGGAAGGGAGAAAAGGAAAAAAAAACAAGGGCACATTTTAAGCAAACAGTATCGCAATCATCCATCACCATCACCTAGAGCAGTGGACTACCACCTACAGTTCTCCAGCCACTCTTCTCACCTGAGCACTACTCTAGGTGCTATATGGCCCCGAGGCTTTAGCCACTGATATAGTGACATGGCCGCATTTAAATCAACTCTCTATCCCCAACAATAAATCAGAGGTGCATTTCCTCCAGGAAGAGTTGGACAGTGTGAGGCCGGATAGCATCTCCATATGCTTTTTATGGCATTTTTATGATTCCCCACACTCACCGTATTGAATCCATTCAGTATTTACACTAAGTGTGCAGCGAGGCCTTGCAGAAGCCTGCACTCTTATGAAGTCTATAATGGCATATAGAATAGGCTTGAGGGATAAATAATGGATGAAAAAAGCCAAATCTGCCATTATGGTGGCGCTCAGCACCGGCTTTTAAGTTTACCTTTGATCGCTCTGTAACGTGATCAATAAGAAGAAAGGTGTATAAATCACTCCAAAAGATATAATCATAGATTCACTGGTCACGGGTCAATCACAGGTCCCCTGAGGTAAAGAAAGCAGCCATGGGGTAATGCCACACACAGCTTCCTCCCCAAATACCCAATTTCTGCCCTGAAAAGGCAGACGTTACCGCGTTCAGGCCATTGTACACTGAGGAGCAACACTGTACAAAGTAAAATATAGCTAGATTTTTTTTTTTGTTCACAATTTATTTTCTTTCCGCGAGCAGCTGTGTGCTAGGTTAGCAGGTTTGGTCCTGTCTCCAGTAGCATCTGTGATGAGGGAGTTGGTTGATGAATGAGCGTCTGAACTCTGCTCATATTACAGTGGGCTTAAGAGACACTGGGCATTTTAATCACGTCACGTACAGTACAGCAGCAGGTTAACACAGAACGCACCAGCTCAGCGTTTCCTTCATATCAACCAGCTGTCTGTCAGTCTGTAACGAGCACTAATCAACTGCACAGCAATTAGGGCTCTAGACCGCCCTGCAACAGTACAGCGCCAAGAGGACCTCAAAACAATCATGTCTGTCCCTACAAGCACGCTCCAATCTTTGTTTAAATATAGTGAGATACAAATAACTGTCCAACAATATCTGAGTATAATTGCCTAACAGCGCATTATCTGATGGTTCATGACTGGAGCCGGACATTTTTGTCCATTAAGAGATACCTGACCAGACCTCAGACTCAGGAGATCAGAGAGCATTCTAGACTGATCTACATCTCTCAGTCTGCCTGTACTGTTGAGAAACCTTAACACAAAAGCCTGAGGCCTCACACACGATCGGAACAGTTCAGTAAAAAAATGAAATGTACACAATATTCCCCTTGCATCAAACACAGTCAATCAGATAAGACATGTTTGATGCCCGAAGCTTGCTGCTGTAGTTTTGCACTGGAGTTACCAAGGTTAATCTATGCTAAACTTGACTTAAACTATGTTTATAAACTATGTAGTTGCTAAGTAATCTTGGACTTGCTTATGTGGTTTTTGACACTGTATGACATACTGTTATCTATAAAAAGGGACAGAAGTACTGACAAATTTTAAGCTTCCAGATGGCTCCTACTATTAGTATTAGCTGTGTGATATATGTCCGTGCATTGTGATAGATAACAATATGTCATACAGGGCCAGAAACCACAAACAAATTTACTCACAGCTCCAGTGTAAAACAAATGACAAACTTTGGACACCAAACAAAAAACTGGCAGCAAAACATTATCTATTGAGGAATAATTATGGTCATGTTTTTAGAAACTAAAACAACTCTTTCAATGCTTTGATTACATCAATGCAGGAGTTAACATGGGATTTTAATCCTTGTAGTACTACACTCTAGACAGGCTATATTATAAAATGAAGCAATCTAGCAATCTGCTTTAGATCAAGATATGTTTAATTACATATTATTTGTACAGTGTAAAACACAATCTATGAAAAATCTTGAAATGGATACATACATGTGTATATGTGGCAGGGCAGAATTCCAGCCAAACAAGAAGCTCTTTTCTCCAAATAAACAGGATTTGTAATGGCTGATATTAGTTTTTAAAGAAATGTATTATAAATAAAAGTGACTACACCTTGAGAACTCCCAGTTACAACTACATGTGAGAGAAGGGGAAAAATTTGTGTGAATATGATGTTCACCCAGCTATTTCTAAAATGCACAAACAGTCTCTCTCTGTCTCATTTTTTATGTGTTTATTAGATATACCAGTGCCAGTGGTGAACGGCAACAGTGCTTGTTCTTCTTATATGCAAACTATGCAAGTTGCATGTCAATGACAAGAATGACATCATATATTTTATAACTAGTAATTTATTAGATGAACCACTTATACTTTTCTAAAGAGTGAAGGGCAAGCCTAAGCAATTTGATTTGTGAAGTGTGACTAGGCATGTGCAACGACAATGAGTGCAGTGCATTATGTAGGTAATGAATTTGTGAACTCTTTGTGAACTCTACATATGTCCAAATTACACTTTCGTGACCTATGTAGTGCCCTATATAGAGGGGTAAGGAGCCATTTAGAACACAGCTTATCATCAGTTTGCTAACATTACCTATTAGCTAGTTACTGCTGAATGGTGTACAAAGTCCTTCTGAGTTTACAGGCAAACTTCATGTTGTGGTAACTCGTTGTTGTCACAAACGTTCAGTAATTTAGCTAACACAGGCAGGCAAAATCAATCTCAGATTGTCCATGTCACACAAGCATTTCGGTGGACTGGCCACCATGGGCATTGATCAAGAGGTTAGCCATGAGCTTTCTTATGATGACAATGAAAATCACTGACAACTTTGTCACCAGAAAATGCAGAAAAGCTAAACTCTTAAGATATGATTTTTTCATCAATAACTTAGTAATGTAGTTAAATATGACAGAAGAATTACTGGGTTAACATTTTGATTAACAGCAAAATGAGTGTACAAGGAATTAAGTGATCAACAAATTTAATCTTTCATTAGTTATAAATTGCTTGGGCCGAGGAACGATTATAAGATATTATGAGATGGCCATGAGAAGAGGAAGCTCACAGACAGCAGGCACACACAACTGGGTTAACAATCACATGCCAAGCATGGAAAGCATGTTAACTCACGTCAGAGAGACAGAGGAGCCACACTGACTGTCTTAAAAGGATTTAACTGGCCCTTTGTACACTGGGCTCAGAGCACTCTAATGTATGAAGCCCATTTACTGTAACAACATATAATTTAAGCCCTGTTCAAGCTGGATTAGTTTAACCAGAGGGGGGTTACATCAGCGTTATGTGACAGGCGCCACACTTCCTTTCTTGTGGAATCGACTCTCCATCAGTAGGTCAGGGATCTAACGTTACCCTTTAGTTGAAAAAACAGCAGCAGGCGACTAACTTTTTTCCTCAACGTATCTAAGCACTTCAGAAATGAAATAAAAATCAGTTTAGTTCTTGTCTTCCTGTCTGGAAATACAAAGTGAACCAGCTGGTTTAGTTATCGTTAACTTACCTCACAACACGACGTGAGCTAACATTAACACACTAACGTAGATAACTTGTCTATCTAATTTAATATTACTAAGTGAAGGCAGTTTAAAGTAAAAGCTACCTTACCATTAAAACTATCTTAAACTTTCTAAGACTCGCTATTGCACCGATATTTTTTCCCAAACACGCAAAAAAAAACAAAAAAAAACAGCAACTTAGCTAACCTAACGTTACCTAACTAGCTCGCTAACTTACCTCAATATTACTGCAAGGATAACCTTCACAATGAACCAGCTGACGAAGATGATGCTAAGACACGACAAATAATTACTTTGAGAGCCTAAGGTTGACGGATGGCTCATGTAATTCACACATCATGTATAACGTTAAACGTATTTCGGGACAATAACTGCAAAAGCAGCAACCAGAAGAACCTAGCTAATGAAGTTATTTTCCTCGGCTGTGGTGGTTCAACTCGGGCTAAACCGTTGAGTTTCCGTTGGATTTTGAATTTTAAAGGAGAGTGTTCTTGTGCTCGTCCCGCGCGGCTGCAGCAGCTTAAAAAACCCATTCAGCCGCTCGTGCAGCTTTCAAGCGGCCTCGCTTTTATGATCAAAAACGAGTTTCTCATCAATAGGCATATCAAAAATGTATAGTATATCAAAATTTATCCTAGTGTTTGAGTGAAATACATCAGTAACGGAGTTAAATCTGCAGAAGCTGAGGGAAAGATGTAAGTTAACTGACGTTAATCTACCGGTGGCTGAAGGAAACAACGTTAACCTTTTGTAAACTGTACATGGGCTTCGAGCGACTTAACAATTTTGACCCAGTTAGCTAAAGGAACAGTCACTTAAGCATCACACCAGCTAGGAAAATGTCTGTGACTGGAAGAGGAGGTAATGCTAGCGTTTAATCCACTCGTTATGGATCAACTCCCTTGTTTAGGGAGCTTGTGTGGATTTAGACCATCAATACTTGATTTAGTGGTTTGATATTCCTCTGGAGATGATTAAGATACACTCTCATTTAATTTGATTCAGTATGAAGGCATGGCAATAATGAAAAAAACACAAAAAACAACAGTTTCTTTAAGCTCTTGCAGTGCAGTGTGTAAACAAAGAACCAACCCTGCCAACATAGTAGAACGATCCCATAGTGCAGCATGACATGACATACATTCCCAAGCCAAATTGGAAGTGGAATCATGGCCCAGAAAAGAAGCTAACAGTCATCAATGCCAAGTATTCACATAAAACTGCACAAATGGTAGTCACTGGTAATGGTACAGTAGTTTCTAAATATGTATAACATATCTAAATTTTATTTCTGCTTTATCTGTGTTTGAAAACACCTTAAAAAAGCCAAATCAATAAACGTCAGCTGATTCCCAGCTAAAACTACAACCAGAGAATTTCTAGTGAGGAAAACTGCCACTTAAAAATGTATT